ACTCCCTCTGTTTTTTTAGCATCCACTACCCCGTTTTTGTTATTGTCCTTTTTTATATTTTTTTATCTCAAATTATAAAATAGTTTTAAATAAAATCTTACATATTAATAAGTTTTATTAAATATACTTAACAATTTTATTTTTTTAAAATAAAAATATAAACTTTTAAAAATACCCATCATTTAATATATTAAAAAAAAGATAAAAATTAATTATAGAGAGAGAAAGAATAATATTAAAATTGGTGTATGTCATAAAACTCTAATTTACTTAAAATGTTTTATATTTGAATATGAAAAAACTCTTTTAAAAGTGTCCTATAATTTGGGATGGAGTGAGTAACATCTTTTCAAATATACCGCTAATTAATGATCTTTTTCTAACTCTTAATAAATTATTTAACTGTATTAGTACATTTAATTAGGGGTAGATTTGAAAAGGGGTAGAAAACTAGATAAACAATTGCCTTGGTCTCCATGAATTTGACATTTGGATACAATATTAACGGACGGGGATTATATGTTACATTTTTTGCATTTTCCACACAGACTATGCATTAATAAGTGTTAAAATCATTTAGTATGAGTGAACTACAGAAAATTTTGTACTGAATAAAATCATTGTTGATGAAGTAACATGTTTAAATATGTGAATCACATTAAAAGACAATATTACTCATAAGAATTAGCCAATTCAAGCCCCAACTAAACCAAATATGCCAACAAGTCTTCGCCTGTGCTCTTCAACTAGCTAGACACGCGCTCGCGACTCGTCTTATTATTCTGGAATTTTTGAAATATTTTCATATAAGCTCCCAACAAAATATATTTTGATATGAAGTTAACTCCATGTGGTATATTATGTATCAAAATCTCGTGACTGCTCTAACCACAGGGAAAGAATGAAGAAATTCAACACACACCCAAAAAAAAAAAAACAAGGGAATATACTATAATAGTTAATTATAGATTTGTGTTTGAAGTAGTGGATTGCAGGACGTCGTTGAATTAAATTGTTTCGGTTATCCCTTCACACATACGCAAAGCAAGTTTTATGGGGGCCCCATGTAATCCAGAAAATAATTGAGGTGAACCAATTCAATTCCCATAAGCTTGAAATTAAAATTTATATTTTTGTGATTCCCCTGCCAAGACGTCCCCGTCTTACCATCAATGTAGATCCCCGTGACCCCTTAAAACATTTCAATTTAGAAAATTTTTATTGTATAATCATATATCTTTTTTTTAACCAACTTATAATCATATAAATTGCATAAGTAAACATGCATCGAGATATTAATTATTTTATATACACGAGGGGGGAAAAAAATACCCAGGCCTGGTATCACTGTACACTACACCGTCCTATATGCTAGTCATTTTTAAAAAATAAAATTGTCTTAAGATTAAATTTCTTAATTTTTACCCATAAATTTAATAAAAGGGATTTGAAATGTGGAAAAAATTTTCTTGATGTTGCCCTTTTTTAAGAATATAAAGGAGGGTATTTGTAGAATTATAAATCAAAGATCGCACAAAATAAGGGAGATTGTGAGATTATTTGGTTTTGTTCTCATTTTTTATTTTTTAAAATTGTTTTTTATAACAAAATAAAATAAAAATGTTTAACTATTTTGATTTGAAAAAAATTTTAAAGTTAAAAATGGCCAATAATAATGATCACTAATAATTAATGATAATGGTTTATAGTAAAAGTAATTGATTATAGCCAAAAATAATTTACAATGTGTTTTGAAAATAAAAAAAGTCATTCTTAAATATTTTTACTTTTTTAAAAAAGAGAAAAATTTAAAAATATTTAAATATAATTCAAAACATTTATCTAAATATTTTTATATTTTTTATTTTTAAAAATGGAAAACAGTTTTTTAGAAACAGGTTTTTTTAATACAAAAATCATTGCGATCTTTTCAGAACATGACTAGTAACAAATGGGACCCGAGAGGGCATTTTGTGTCCCGAGACTAAAACTAATAATCACATAACGAACTCATAGCCATGGGGCTGCGTGTAACCACGCCGTGTTTAAAAAGGTGTATTTACTGTCAGTGCATGCTTGCGTTATTTATCATTATTGCCATGCTCTCGCGTATTCTTCTTTTCCATACATCTACAAAGCTCATCACATTTCATTTCATTTTATTTAAATTCACTATACACACTCAGTGACTCTTATATATGAGTCTACTCTACGTATCAAATGCAAAGTACACTGAACTAATAATGAATGTTAGTTCATATGTTATAACTTCTACGTATTTGCGTTAGCTGAAAAATAAAATACATTAAAGCTATTAAGAAATTTATAATATGATATTAAGCTATATGGCCCGGACAGTTGTACAACCACAAGCTTAGAACAGGATGAAGAAAGAAAATGTCTCGACAAAATATGGGTGTGAAAAAGTTTACATGTCAGGACAAAAAAATTGTTGCCGGCCAGCTCAGCAACATCGGTTCTACTTATAGTTCATTGATTGATAAGTTAAGGGATAATTTCGAATAAGGACCATGACTTAATTATTAGTAGATTCTAAGAAAATATAAAATTTGAGTTGAGTTCAAAAAATTTAAAATGAAAATAATTTTAACAGTAAAAAGATTAAAATACCATTTACTTATTAATTTTTTATGAGATGTAGAATTATTAATTGTTAATTTTTTACTTCACTTATTTATTTATCCATATAAATTATAAATTATATCAGTTTATCAGACAAGTAGTAATATTTGCTAACTTTATTTGTTAACTTACTAATATCAGTTGTAAATTACAAGACTTATTAGTGATTTATAATTGATGTTCGTAAATTAATAAGTAAAGTTAATAAATCAATAATTGATGTTGCTACTTGTAATTGAACAATTAATATTCAAGTTTTGTATGATTATTGATAAATCAAGTAATGTAATTTATAGCTCATATCAATAAATTAACAAATGAAGTAGGAAACTAACAACTAATAATTTTACATCTTGAATAAAATTAACAAGTGAAGGATATTTTAATTTTTTTATTATTAAAATTATTTTTACTTTAATCCTCCTGAGTTGAATTGAGATTTCAAATTTTGTTGGGATCCATTAATGATTGAGTCACATTTTTGATCTTTAGTTGAAATTTCCCATAAGTTAAACTCAACTTTTTAAGTGTGGGAGCAGAAAACGTAATTTTCATACATTGTTTCACTAAATTATTTTTAATTCCAAAAAAAAAATATTTGATTTGATTGTATCTTTTCCTTCAAGGCATGGCATTATATTGGTCATGCATGCTAGTGAGTCTCCCTCATATCCCCAATGAAAACAGAGTGACGTACAGCGATTGGAATGGCCCCATGAGAGCAAGCAAGTCAGCCAACACATGCTTTCTGATTAACCAATTTACAAACAATTTGATTTTTTTTATTGGTATGATTATTTAATTTAATCAAATTCAAGCATTGTCATGCTCAATCTCTCAAAAACACTTTTTACATTCTCACTGACTTAAAATCTTATGTATAAACAATCATAATTCTTTTCATAAAAATCAATGCTTGTTAATATTTTCAAACAATTTGATATGAATATATAGTTAGCTGGCATGTTTGATTTTTCATGATGCAATTCTAAATAGACTTGTTTAGAAGCAACAATTTGTTACTCCTCTCGTAAGGTGATTTTCAAATTAATGCACTGATCCTTGAATGTGTATTAGATACACTTAAAATGTTGCTTTGATGTCTATTGTATGCACAAGTGATTATCACATTCCTACCACACAAAGCAGTAGTCGTATTTTATGTAAAAAAAATAATAATAGTAATATTGGTGCAACATTTTGGAAAGCCGTCGTCAATGAAATCGTATCAATTTAGATATGAGAAATATTACTTCAACTGCCATTATATAATTAAATATTTTAATCACGCATAGTGGCCATTCATTTTGCTTTTATACTGCGTGATGCTCTGCTTTGATTATTCTCAAATTAAAGCGCCAATGAATCATGCAAGATTAAGTGGAGAGAGAGCTTGGTTAATTAAATTAATCTTAATATATTTCCGCTGCCATATATTATTAGTTACCATAACGGAGCTCAGTGGGACGGTAGGGCCCTCGCGTGCCCGTACAATTACTTTCTTTTTCCATGAAGTCATGAACCATCTTTGTTAGTTGATACGGTCGGTAAAACCTAATTAACTACCCTTTAACTAAATTTTATTGGCCACCACGTACATACTATTGCATAAGCAAAATTAGTCTTTTTTTGCCCAAAAAAAAAAAACAACGTCAGACTCAAGTATCACCATAATTGAGCATTTTCTTATATTGACCATTGCATAAATCTCATAAATATCCCAAGTCCTCTCTCATGCGTCCAGTAAACGTTCATAGTGCAGCTGTTAGATTTCATTAACATTTGAAAATTCATAATTAAAAATAAATAAGACAGTAATTTTTATGAGAATATTTTTCAACTATTTATATGCATCTATGTGAATGGTTAGATTAGAGTATGTGGTATAAGAAAAGGTAAGAATTGATTTGGTATTCTCTTTGTACTTTGTCCTAACATCTCCAACAAGTGTTGGATTGAAGTTAAGTGAGGCACTCTCCGGGTAAAAAGATTTGAGACAATCAGTCAATCACTATATCTGAATAACATAGGCAGCGAAGATGAAACTATCCTTGAAATATTTAAATGTGAAAAGATTTTATCAAGTTTAGACTTGCTATGAACTGTGTGATGTTCTACCATCATTTAGGCCTCGTTCACCGGTCAGAATATTTTTTTCCCCTCCTCATAGCCGAAACTACCCAATTAAATCCCGTAAAACCAGCAATCACATAGCATCATGGTCCCATCTTTTTATTTATTCAATTACTTTTTTGGTACATATTTGTTTATTAATTGTTTTATTTAAATCATGCTGTTTAGCGGTTCCCTCTCTCCTCTTTATATACCCCCTTCCCTCCTTCACATTTCTCACAACAATCTCCACCTTATACAACACAGACACACTTCTCTGTTTCAACATGACTTCCTTCTTCTTCTTCCTCTGTATTCTCCTCATCCCAACCCTCATTTGCTCTTCCCCTTTCCACGACCCTGAATCCATCGTCCAAGAAGTGAACAGGTAACTATCAATTCTGTTTTGGCATCCTCTATTCACAACTTCATCGAACATTTTCTTGTTTGGTAAGTAACAATCAATGTGCCACATTCTGTGTTTTTTTTTTTCCTGCTTTTCTAGGAAAATCAATGCCTCTGTCGCTAGGCGGAATTTGGGCTACCTCTCGTGTGGAACTGGCAACCCTATCGACGATTGCTGGAGGTGCGATCCTAATTGGGAGAAGAACAGGCAGAGGCTAGCCGATTGTGCGATAGGGTTCGGGAAGAACGCCATTGGCGGGAGAAATGGAAGAATTTACGTGGTGACGGACGCCGGCGATGATGATCCGGTGAATCCCCGGCCGGGCACTCTCCGATACGCCGTGATTCAGGACGAACCGTTGTGGATTACATTCGCGAGGGACATGGTGATTCAGTTGAAGGAGGAGCTTATCATGAATTCCTTAAAGACCATCGACGGACGAGGCGCGAGCGTGCACATTGCGGGCGGGCCCTGCATAACGATCCAGTACGTAACCAACATTATAATCCATGGAATCCACATACACGACTGTAAGCAGGGAGGGAACGCCATGGTGAGGAGCTCCCCACGGCACTACGGGTGGAGAACCGTATCGGACGGCGACGGCGTGTCCATCTTCGGAGGCAGCCACGTGTGGGTGGATCACTGCTCGCTGTCGAACTGTAAAGATGGTCTGGTCGACGCGATTATGGGGTCCACCGCGATAACCATTTCTAACAATTACATGACGCACCATGACAAGGTCATGTTACTGGGTCACAGCGATTCTCATACACAAGACAAGAACATGCAAGTCACCATCGCTTTTAATCACTTCGGAGAAGGCCTCGTCCAAAGAATGCCGAGGTATATTATCATCAACCATCTTACACACCCACATATAGGGTTTTGGCTGTGTTTCTTTCACATAAATATTCAGTCACAATCGTTTTCATATAACAATTTGTTCAAGGAACCATTATAGATGTCATTAAGAGGGTGAAAAGGAATTGGGGTAATGGATGGGAGCACAGGGAAAGTGAAAAGGTGAGGGAGGATAAAGAAAGGAATGAAGGTTGTTAATTTTGTATGAGACATGATGTTACTGAGCTTGAAAGAGACTGAAATGATGGTTGGTCATATGTATTGGACAGATGTAGGCTTGGATATTTCCATGTGGTGAACAATGACTACACTCATTGGGAAATGTATGCCATTGGAGGAAGTGCTAGCCCAACCATCAATAGCCAAGGCAACAGATTCATGGCACCCAATGACAGATTTAGCAAAGAGGTACTTATTTATTTGTAATTTTTTCCCTAAATCGATGTGTTTGACAGGATGACGCTAATTGTAAATGGTGGGAAACATTGCAAATGGGACATAGGTGACAAAGCACGAGGATGCTCCAGAGAGTGAATGGAGGGGCTGGAATTGGAGATCAGAAGGAGACTTGTTGCTGAACGGTGCGTTTTTCAGGGCATCAGGTGCGGGAGCCTCCTCTAGCTATGCAAGGGCTTCTAGCTTGAGTGCCAGGCCTTCTTCTCTGGTGGGTTCGCTCACCTCAGGCGCCGGCACACTCAGCTGCAGGAAAGGTTCTCGCTGCTGATCGTTACTATCAGCTAATGTCAAAAGAAGAAAAGAGAGGGAAATCAAAAACAAGTTACACGTCTCTCTAGGATTGACTCCAATTCCTTCCGTTCTTTCTTTTCTCATGTTTGTTTGCTTTTTTACTTATTAATTTTCCCCCTGATTTGCTGTAATGTCTAAAGATTACAACCTCGCCTTTGACTCTTAGATCCAAGCCACGTGGGGGATGTGAATGGTCTAAGAGGAAACGAGTGCAGAAGAGTTGATGCTACTGATATGTGTTTGTACTAATATACGAAATTACATATGCCGAGATTGAAATCTCTGTTGGGTTTCAGCTTTTCACTCTAGCTGTGGTATGTCACCGACACCAGCGCAGGCACAAAAGCAGAGGCCTTGACTGGGCCGGTAAAAGGGGAGTTCCATGATGGGGAAAAATCTAATGGAAAAAACAAAATAAATCTTGGAATCCCGTCCGGCCATCCCATCCCCCCATCAATCAAAGTTAAATAAATTATTTACAAAAAAAAAAAAGAGGAAAAAGGCCAACTACCTAAATAACAGTTAACGAATGGGACAGGAGAAGAGGGAACACAAGTCCACGTCTGATTTGTGAATGCTATATCTCGTAACAGAGAATGCAATCGGGGAAAGAAAAAGCCCCCCACCACAACATATTGTGCATTGAAAAAGCTAGGGGATGGGTGTCGTTATTGTATAGAGGAACGCAATATATATCTTTAAGGCTTTTAGGTAGTGGTTTGACCCAGATCAGCATCCTGCCATTGTTCGAAGCAGTAATGATACAAATTGGTCTGCTCCCAAAGATAACATGGAAAAAATATTTACTTTTTAATTCTTATCCTTAAACAAAATTTATTTTCCCCAAGACATGCGGAAAACACGAAAGAGTTGGTGAAGCCTTCAAGTAAAGGTTAGCCCTGAAATCTACAATAGGAATCTTTATAAAAAAATTATTTCAAAAAAAATATTTGTAAAAATAACAACTATGCACGCTTTTCAAAACACATGTATTAAAATTAAAAGTATCTGTCTTAGGTTAATGTGTGCACATATATAAAGTCAGGAACAGCCAATACAGGGAATTCACACAGGTAGAGATGTTTTAGATTTCAGTTGTATTTTATCGTTCAGGAGAAACACAAAGAAAATGTTATTATATTTTAATGAAAATAAAATGAACAGATGATTCAAATAAAAAATTAATTGAAAATAATTTAGATTAAGAAAAATGAGATTGACAATGGGGTGGTGTTAAAAAAAAGAGGGAAAGCGAAAGTGGGATGCTCCAGGAGTTTGGGGTTAAGAAGGTGGGGAGAGGAAAGAGGGACCCACAAGGGAAAAGAAAAGAAGGGGAAGGCACATGGGGGTGTTGGAGTGCCATCTTGCCCTTTAAGTGATTCACTGAAAGAGTTTCCATTTCAATTGCGTTACACCAAACCCCGGCAACTCAGCACTCACATTTCATCTTCTTACTTAACCTGATCTTGTCAAACCATGTTACCCGTATCATCATTTTTAATTTTTTTTATATAGTCGGAGGGATAAAAAATGGATACAAAATTCCAATAACACCCCGAGGATAAGGTTGATGTCTGGAGGGATTGTTCAATTTCAAAGCTTTTGCAAACTCAGCACACTCTTGCCGAAACCTATCTCCCTTTGTCTTTTACAAAATTGAATTTTCATGTGTATGTTTTGTGCCTTGCAAATTCAACTTCAAAATTAGCTGCACGCTTGTTAAAGCAAAAGCCCATTCTTCAAAATCCTAACATAATCTGCACCATTTAGTTGCTTCCTAACAAGAGTGGAGAGATCAAACATCTAATTTTTGTTTCGACAATTTACAAGTTCTGTAGATGATGATTTCACATGACATTCTTGACTCACTTTCATCCAAATCATTTTATTCTTGCCTAAAGATTCAGCTGAAAGATCCCAAAAATATAATATATTAATATATCACAGTACATCAAAGTAAAAAGAAATCAACTGATAACTTCCAGTCAAGTTCATTACAAATGTACGAGAAATATTAGCAAAGTTAGATCCCCAAAAAACAAAGGAAGGATGGAAGATTAAGATCCGTTATCAAAGCATACATCATGCCATTACAAACATTGGCAAGCAATTTAGCTGCGTCCTTAAAAGAATTCAAGATCCAGTAATTGGAAGAAAAATCTCGATTAAAATAGGCCAGAAATGTCCAGCCAACAAAAATATACGTATTAAAACCTGATCCGATTCTAATCTATATAATTCACAATACAAATTATTTATTTAAAAACCAGTTGTTAAGAAATTTTCATGTATCGTCACTTTCCCGTACCTTTTCTCCACCCAAATCGTAGCCCAACAGAATGGCCAAAATTTGGGCTTCTAATCATATATGAAATCCTTTCACGTACATCAAATGAGTTGCTATCAACAGAAGTCAGGCTAATCAAAACCACCGTCGCTCAGGTAAATTAAGTTTTGAATTATTACTAGGAAAAGTATCACATTTAATACCCAATTTTTCCTTGATTAAAATTATTTTCAATAGGAAAATATCTTTGAATAATAAAAAAAGAGTTGTTTTAAATAAAACTTAATCACTTAAATATTTTCCCCAATTTAGTTTTTAAGAATAGTTTTTAATATAAAAATATAAACAATTTAAATTGATTGGACGGCCAAAATTTGTCTAAAATAAATATTTTTATAGAGATAAAAAACAAAATTTCTTGCAACTTGCTTTTCTTTCTTAGTTCTGATCTTCAACAATGTTTATTAATTAATTTATACTTTTTTTTTTCATTTGAGAATGAAACCAATAGATCAATAGACACGTGTATATTATCGAAAATGTTTTATTGACCCACTGGGCCTGTATGACAATTCATATGACTAGGCTTTTAAAAAGGGAACTTGCTGTCCAAGGACTCAAGTTGCAATTAATGACCTCAAAGTAGAATAAAATTCGTTTTGCATTTCTTCCAGAGTCAATAGGTCAGTCTGTGAAGTTGCAGACTTAGCAGTGCGGATGGCATAACCCACATCTTGATGGATTATATTTATGCTAATCCACATTGGGTTGGTCGGTTGGTGGGTTAACCCGTCAATAAAACATATTTTTAACATTTTGTTATTTTTAAAAATTATAAATTCATTTCTTTTTATTATTTTTGGCTTAAAAAACATATTCTTCTCCTAAAAATTAATTATCCAATGAGAAGTGGAGAAATTTCTCCCTAAAATTTGGGTTGGACTTGGGTCTGTACGCAATTACCTTTATTCAAACATTCAAAAGCATAATTAATTAATTAATTTAGTTACGATAATATTTTTCAAGCAGAAAGGAAAAATTGATAGTAGTACCTTGTTGTACTTTTTTTTTTTGCTGAAAAAAGAATTCATTTTATTAATCACAAAAAAATTAGAATGCACACACTGATAGTCGAAACTAAAAAAATCTTTAAAAAAACTTATAAATACAATCTAACACACAAAAACTTAAAAAAAACAAAAGAAACGATAACTAGTTCAAACACAAAAAAAAAAAAAAAACAAAATAACAAAGCTATTGACCAATTCCTATTTTGAACAGACCAACATAACTATCAATAATAAAAAAATTTAAAATTGTAACTCTATTAAAATTTAGCACCTGAGCCAAGGCAGATGGAGGTGAGAACATCACATCAACCAAATCCATTTTCCTTTTAGTATCACCTGCAAAGAAATCTATAATCTTATTATAATCTCTATTGACTAGAGAGAAAAAACTAGTCTTTATAGAGTTCTCTAAGCTTTAAATGTCTTTAATAACACTAGTATTTTTTCAATCACAACCTACAAAAACACCTTTAGCAACAAACATTAAACAAAACTTCATAATCTCCTTCCACGCACACCTTTCATAAATCCATCCCCCTTATTAATAATAAAGTTTTTTTCATTGCCAAAGCTTCAATAATTAGGGCAGAAGAGTCAATCACTTTTTCACTAACACCCATAATAAATTTACCTTTAGCATCCCTACCAACAATCCCAACACCTCTAACGCTTTTTTTTTTTTTTAAGAATAAGAGGCACCATTAAAATTCACTTTGATCATATCTCTCTTAGGAAGCCTCCAACAAGATCAATATTTACAACATTCAGTACCACCTTATTTATCTCATTTGGTAGTGTATCGTGAGCTTCATTAAGAGACCAATCAATCAATTTATTTACCTCCCCAAGATGCACATCAATGCCTTAAAATAAAAATTTTCATCTTAATTTCTCAATATACCAACATGTGAGAGCAATTTAACATTTAATATCATCAATAAAACCAGCTTTCATCAACCAAAATTCACACCTCAATATTTCTCACAACCTGTGTTTTAATTTTTCACTCCAACTATTCTCCAAACAAAACAGCCCTAGACCAATGACAGAATAAGAACATATGTTCTCTAGTTTCTTCCTCATTGCCACAAATATTACTCACAGGATTAATCAAGCATTTTTTCTTCCACATAGCATCATATATAGGCAAAGCACCGTTAAGCAATCTCCAAATAAAATGCTTAATTTTTGATATACAGCCTAATTTTCAAGTACACTCCCACAAACATTCATCAATACAGATAGAAATGCTTGGATCCTTACAAATTATAATACGTTTCGCCCTTGCAAATCTATAACCCAACTTGATTGAGTAAATCCCATTAGAGGCACCATCCCAAACTAACTTATCCTTACCATTAAATAAAGATAAAGGCATTTTCATGATCAATTCTCTATCCTCCTCCTTCAGTAAACCAGGTATACAAATTCAAATTACAAGTATTATTGATAATAAAATTAGAAACAGGCCTCACTAACTCATTAATATCATCAAATTCAACTAACAATCTACCATCAAGTGAGCCCTAAACCCATCTATCTTCCCATACTTGAATTTGATTATCATCCCTAACCCTCCACCACAACTTCTTATTCAAGAAATCTTATCCAGCTAATATACTAGACCAACCCCAAGACGCATGAGGACCCTTCTTAGCATTCAAAAAAATTAGAATTAGGAAAATATAGTCCTTTCAGTGCTTTTGCCCAGAGATCACCATCACATTTCAACAACCCCCAGGCAGATTTTGCTAATAAGGCTGAATTAAAATTGTCAAAACATCTAAACCCCATACCTCCCTTCTCTTTTGATTCTAAAATATATTCCCATGATTTCCAATGAATACGCTCCTCCCCACTCTTCTGTCCCCACCAAAATTAGCCATAATTTGATCTAATTCCACACAAGTGTTTTTGGAAAATC